ATGCAAGAGTGTATGAAAAGCTTTACTAAAGTCTAGGTATACTACATCCATCCTTATCCACAAGGCTTGTTATTCTGTCAAAGAAAGCTATTAAGTTAGTTTGACATGATTTGTTCTTTATAAATTCATGCTGACTGTTACTTATCACCAGGGCTCGCCAAGCAGCAGTGAGCCCTGCTTGCCAGCCACGCAGTTCTGTGTTCTGCGCATGCGCAGATCGTTCTGCACATGTGCAGATTGCTCTGCGCTGGCTCTTCTAGGTTGTAATCTACTCGCCACAGGAGAGTAGATTACATTATTTGTTGAGCCCTGCTTATTACTTTATTATCTTCTAGAGCAGTGGTTCTTAACCTGGAGGTGCGAGATGCCCTTTCTGGGGGTGCAAGACACGCCAGATTTTTATGATATATCTTAGGTTTAGAGAACTGACCTACTTCAATGATTTTTAATAAGGGGTGCGAGAACATATTTTGAGAACCAAAGGGGTACAGGCTGCAGTAAGGCTAAGAACCACTGTTCTAGAGGTTTGCAAATGGATTCCTTAATTATTTGCTCCATTATCTTTCCTGGTACAGAAGTTAAGATGACTGGTCTTTAATTTCCTGGGTTGTCCTTAGTTCCTTTTTTATAAATGGACATATTTTTACCCTTTTCCAGTCTTCTGGAATTTCTCCCCTCTTCCATGACTTTTCAAAGATAATAACTAATGGCTCAGATATCTCCTCAGTCAGCTCCTTGAGGATTTTAGGATGCGTTTCTTCATGCCCTGGTGACTTGAACACATCTAACTTCCTAAGTAATTTTAACATGTTTCCCCCCTATTTTAGCTTCAGAACCTACCCCATTTTCACTGGCAGTCATTATGCTATGCATCTGATCACCACCAACCTTATTCATGGTACAGTAAATGAAAAAAGAAGCACCTCTGCCATTTCCACTATTTGTTTGCCTCTTCATTAATGAGTCTATCCTTGTTCTTGGTCTTCCTCCTGGTTCTAATATATTTGTAGGATATTTTCTTGTTGCCCTTTATGTCTCTAGCTAATTTGAGCTTGTTTTGTGCCTGGGACTTTCTGATTTTGTTCCTATATATTTATGATGTTTGTTTATATTTATCCTTTGTAATTTGACTTAATTTCCATCTTCCATAGGACTCCTTTTTATTTTTAGATTACTGAAGATCTCCTGGTTAAGCCAGGATGATCTCTTGCCATACTTTGTTTTTCCTAGACAGTGGAATAGTTTGCTTTTGGGCCCTTAATAATGTCTCTTTGAAAAACCTCCAACTATCTTCAATTGTTTTTTCTTTTAGACTTGCTTCCCATAAGATCTTATCTACCAATGCCCTGATTTCGCTCAAGTCTGCCTACATGAAATGAATTTATCCAGAGTTTTCAAAGTGCAATTTTCTTCCGAGAAAAGCAAACCTTGTTCTGAATCATTCACTCCAAAAAGATTGTTCATCTTCACATCCATACTTCCCTTCAATGGAATGCTAAACTGTCTAAACTCCAGTCATCTGAAGAAGTGGGCTGTGTCCACGAAAGCTCATGATGCCATCTACATGTTTTGTAGTCTATAAAGTGCTACCAGACCAGTTTTTGTTTTTTAAGTGTATCCTGTCTTATATTGTTCAGCCACTAGATGGCTCTGTATGAAATACAGTGTCTTGTTTAAACAAACATCAGCCATGCCTGCCAGGGCATTTAAGGATCTTAGTGAATGAACATACCTTGTGTTTACTACATCAACTACAGATGAATCACTACATCTATAGTCAGTCCATATCTGATACAGAGCAACATAACATGGCGTCAGGAGTAAACTAAGACAGACACAGAAGGAAAAAGGCAACAAAGCTTGCAGAATCGCAACATTATGCCATTTGTCAATGCCCCAGAGAACTTCAGCTTTGATAAACCTTCAGAATGGACAGATTGGAAATAATATTTTGCAAGATTTCAAATGGCAACCAAGCTGAACAAAAAAACTGGAGCTATAAAGCTATTTTCTTTAATTTATGCTCTGGGGAAGCAAGCAGCGTGTATCTTTAAATCCTTTGACGTTTCTGAAAATAGTCAGATAACTATGAAAGGGTTCTGGTTATGTTTGATGCATACTTTACATCTCATCGAAATTTGGTTTATGAAAGAGCATGTTTTCATCAGAGAATTCAAGAACCAAGGGTAATGTTGAATATTTTATATGAGTTCTGCATACATTGGCTGAAAACTGATTTGGGGGGGATGCAAAACATGAAAATATCAGAGACAGACTGATAATTGGATTAACAAATAAAAACCTTTCACAGCAGCTACAATTGCAGAGAGACTTAACCCTAAGCACAACTAAACATATAGCAAAACAGTCAAAATTAGTAAAACAGAACAAAAGGCAGGAGAAATTTGAAAAACCTGAAACTAGCTTAGGAGCTACAACAGATGCTTGAATGTTAACTGTCATCACCATGAAACCCCTGAGGCCAGGAGAGAAAACTCCCAGTCTAAGAGTGATAAATTCCAGCCTACATGCACAAGGAGTATGTCACCAGGTCCACTCACACTGAGGGCATGTCTACATTGCATCCCTTTTGCGCAAAAGCCTATGCCAATGAAGCATGGATTAGCATACCACCACGCTTCATTTGTATAATTAATTAGGGGCCGTTTTTGCGCAAGAGGCTTTTGTGCAAAAAGGAGCCATCTACACAGCTCCTTATAAGGAAGAATGGCTCTTGCACAAAAGCTTCTTGGGCAAAAATGGCCCCTAATTAATTATACGAATGAAGTGTGGCAATATGCTAATCCGTACTTCATTTGCATAGGCTTTTGCACAAGAGGGATGCAATGTAGATGTAGCCAAGGTGTGTCTACACTACAGGGCATAACTTAAAATAAGCTACACAAATTAAGCTACATCAATTGTGTATCTTATTTCGAAATTGGGAATGTCTACACTGCACTTATTTTGAAATAGAGCACTATTCCTCCAATTTCACTCATTCCTTGTACAATGAGGATTATGGGAGTCGGAGTAAGAAGTCCTCCAGCTTGACAGTGTTTTGATACTATTTCGAAATAACTGCCTGCTGTGTAGATGCAGACTAAGTTATTTCGGAACAGCACTAGTTATTTCAAAATAGTGTTGCAGTGTAGATGCACCTACGGTGAAAACTCCTGCTGACCGTCCTGGGGATTAGTTCTGCCGGACAGAACACTCTGTTCAGGTGAATTCATAGTCTATCTAGACCTGCTGGCTGGCGGTTATTTCCAGTGTCCCCGCCATTTCCCAGTGGCTGATTGGGAGCCCAGGCTTACTCTCTACATTGGGTCCCAATCTAGGGACTCTGCTCTCAGCAGTCCTGGGCTTTCATCTCCCAGCTCTCACTGCACCTTTCCTAGACTGCTTCCAACCACTGGTCCCCCTTCTCTCTCTCTGGGTCTACACGTTCTAACACCCTTCTCCCTTATGAAGTGACTGCATCCTACTCACGCTGTAGTCTCCAAACACTCCTCCCTCTTAACAGAGAGCATCGGCCCTTTCCCAGCAGCTTTCACTACTTCCAATTTCCTATATTTATGAGTCCAGCCCAGCTCATTCCTTCATAGCTGGACTCCTTTACTCATTTAAGGGATTACTCTGCCACCTGATTCCCCTCAGATGTGGCTTGTTGGATTAATTAGCCTCTCTACCTTCATTAACCCTTTCTGCTACAACATGGCAGCCATGATGGACCAAGTGAGAGAAGTTGGAAGGAACTGATGGTGAATATGGTGGTAGGGGACTTTTGAAAGGAGATCCAATACAAATCAACTTAAAACACACCGCTGAATCATGCCACATACAAACTCCTAACCAAAGAGACCTAGGAAGAGACTAGGGGCAGATTTATTCAGATTCAGAGACTATTATTTCCTGGTTGAAGTGGACTATTTTTCCAGCTATATAGAAATAATGAACTTGAAAGAGATAACATATCATCATGTAACTGAGAAATTGAAATGATCAGAAAAACCAGTGAAAGACAACACTACACAACTCACTCACTGCAGCAGAATGTAAGATATTCTGAACAAAATACGATTTTGATCATATTACTAGCAGCTCACATTACCCACAAAGAAAAGGATATGTTGAGAGAACTGTACAGACAGCCAAGGAAATCCTATAGCAGGAAGATCCATTCCTTGCTTTTCTGAGTAACAGATCAACGTCAAAAGCAGCTACTGGATATAGTCCAGTAAAACCCCTGATGGGAAGACAACTCCGGTTCTTTTCCAAAGCTGGAGCAGTTGTTCTATGCCCAAAGGGGCCAGACATGGAGAAAGTAGCCCAATAGGAGGAAATCCTCCTAGAGAATTCCTTGTCCAGAACCTATTCCCATAGATTTTTTTTCACAGAAGGGTATGATCAAGGCCTGTCTTATTTCTGATGAAAAAAAATTTAAACACGAAGTCTCAACCTTAGTATAAATTATCATAATAAATTACGGCTAATGACATTCACAAAGTTTAATTTAACATGTTTAATTTTAAAGCCCATGTACTAAGCAAGCAGAGGAGCCAATAAACAAGAGAACTGCAATATAAGCAAAGAAGGCAGTCAGTACTCTGAACTTGATAGGGAATTTGTTTATAAGAGGTGGTAAGTGCTCTTAATACAGAACATTTTGGAAATACAACCGTACCACACATTTTAAAATGGTGCTTTGTAATTGTCATAAGTTGTAGAGTTCTCATTTGGTCAAATCCTGAAATTTATGCTGACATTGACATACCTGACTAAGAATCATTGTTTTATGGCCATTCTTGGTAAAAAAAGAGCCACTCCCATAGGAATGTTTATGGATTGTGGAAATATTTCTGAAGTCCAGTGCTAATATTTTAAGAATCCATCATAGTGAGACAAGGACTACAAGGTGGCTAAGCATAAAACAATAAATGTTGCTGTTTTCATGCCTGTAAAACTAGTAATAATTTCATTCTCTCTTCCATTTTTAGGATAATCCATATTTTGATATGCACTTTGAGAAGATCTACAGTTGGGAAGCATATAGCTGTGCATCTAAATATGCCTTTGCTCGAACGTTAAACAAACTGAATTACATGTATCTTAAAAAGGACTTGAAGTTTGTGAATTTTGATATAGCTTACATAAATGATGATTCAATCTGGTCATCCAACAATGGGGACTGTTTAGTTCTCATGAGGATATGCTTCTACGCTTCTAATCTTTTATGTCTGTCACTGTGTCCTATGCCATAAGGATGGATTTTATATCAATAAAGTTACTAGATGACTTCCAGTGCCAGATTCTGACAAATAATCTAATATAAAAGATATGTGATATGCAGTATTTGCTACTTATTTTTACATATTAGTCAAAAGCAGAAATACAAAAAATAAAACCTCATTTTTATATAAATAATGAAGTGTTTCTTTTAGTAAGATCCCAATACTGCAAACACTTGCACACCTGCTTAACTTTCGACACAACAATAGTTCCATGGCACTATTCCTGTGAATAAAGGTCAGCACATGCACAAGTGTTTGTTGGGGCCCAAATTAGCATACATTAATGACCAAAAATATTTTTAAATCATTATTGTCAGCTAATTTGTGTCTTCAAAGAAGGGAAAAACATCGTGTAGTTGAGAAATGCAAAATTCAATTTCTAAATATGTCGAAATATAGGTTTTTTTAAAAGATTATATCTAGATAAATACAGAGGTTGAAATCCTGGCTCTGTTGAAGTTGATGGGAGTTTAGTCACTGAGTAAAATTCTGGCTTCATTGATGCCAATGTGGAGAAATATATGTGTCTATACAATTTTTAATGGAGTGACAAATACTTCTTTGCCTTATATGTCCTTTGCTAGATGTAACTTATTTTGTTCCTTGGCTGCCGCAAACCGGGACTACTGGACTCAGGGAGTCGATGAGAGAGTACTCAGCTAAACACTATAAGTCACACCCCTCACTGGATCAGTCGCGGCCTCATTTATTTCCTCTCTCTGGTTTGGTAGCCTATGGTAGACCCCTAACATGAGGTCACCCTTTTTTCCCCTTTTATCTTTATCCAGAGACTTTTAACTGGTTTGCCTCTCAGAAAAAATAATGCAACACCTCCTTCATTTTACCCCTACTGTTCCTTCCTGAACAAGCATGCCCCTGTGTATTCCAGTCATAAGATTTAGTCCAATATGACCAAACTTCAGTGTCCCAGTGCATTGAGATCCCAGCCCATCAGTGCTCCTCTCCACCTAATTCAGCCTACCACCCAGAAGATCAAGACCCTCCAGATCCTGAGTCAACCCAGTTTCACTTTCACTTCAGCCTCCAGTCTGAACCCCTTTTCCCTCCATGCCCAGCACTAAGCCCCCTGCAAGGAAACATTTCAGGCACCCCCACTCTCTTCCTCTGCACATGCCCTGCTCTCTCTCCTCAGCCACTCTTTTCTCAGGGTGCCCCTACCCAGCCCAAGTATCCACCCATGCACAGAGACTCCCTACAATAGGCCACGTGCTCCACTCCTGTCTCTTCCAATAGCAAGTCAGCCTCATTCTATTTTCATGTGTCATGAATAAATGGACCTGCTCAATGCTTAGCACTGTGATCCAAGATAGCAGCACTTGTGGCCATCCATTCCAGTGGAGGATGAAGCTCTTGCCCGAGTAAGCCAGTAGGGTTTCTTCCTATGATGCCTCATCCCACTCCATTCCAGCCCAGGCACTGCCAGTTAACCTGCCCCAAACTCCCTCTCCGGTATTGCAGGAGATGATATTAAATTATGAGTCAGGAGGGTTTTGGTTATAAATTGTAGTTTCTTTGATGTGACAGGAAAATTGGTCAGTCTTACTAGCCCAAATTACTTCTTCCTCTGTGATAAATCTGGTGCATCTCTGTAATGAATCTGGTGCATAAACCAGTACATTAGTGGGGATGGAGTTACTTTCCACTCCTCCCTGCACACTCACCATTCACTGTGTGCAATGAGGAGTAGTTGCCTGCCAGTGGCCTCTCTTTTCTACTCCTGTGAAGGCTCTGGTGATGCAGGTAGTTCATGAAAGGCATAGGGATGCTCCTTAGACTCCCTCGCTCTTCTGCACAGGTTCACATGAGGGCCCTTGTTTGACCTATAAAGGAGAAGAAGAATGTCCCTGAAGTTAAGGCACAGAGCTGAGCTCTGGATTCTAATATCCAGTTCTGACTAATTTGGTTTGTGACCTTGGGCAAGCCAATTAACCTCTCTGAGTTCAGTAAATCCTATCTGTAAAATGGAGATACAGTGATCTTGTGGGGCTTACTTCATTAATATCTTTAAGCACTTTGAAATTTCAGATTGAAGGGCCTGTATAAATGCATTTTAATTGAAATGGAACAGAATCAAATAAAAACATAACTACATGGGTGGTCATTGCAGCTAGGGTTGGGGGAGGCAGGCCTCAGCCCCACCTACAGCCCTGTCGCCTCTGCTGAGCCCTTGCCCCCCCACCACAAGGAGGAGAGGAGGTGGGTCAGTGTGCAGAGTGGACACATACCCACCACCACCATGGGGAAAGAAGGAGGCAAGCGCACGTGCGCCCCAGCCTCCGCGTCCCAGAGCACTGGGGAGGGAGAAGGCTGTGCAGCCCAAGCCTCCTCAGCCCTGGCGCACCAGGGAGTGTGGGCCCGGGGGCACACTCCGCCCCCAGAATGCCTACAGCAGGCGTTCTGGGGGCAGAGTGTGGACGGGGCCATTCCTGGCAGTTTGGGAAGGCTGTGCCTTTTGCCACCTAGGCTACTGGACGCTCATGCATACCTATTTATAACAGACTGTATAAAACGTACAGCTTTTTACTTTTATTTTTTAAGTGCTCCCCACCTTCCTGATATGAAGTCCCCCTCCTCCCTTTGACTATATGCTAAATATATAGGTAATTCTAGGATCCAAGATGTATGTTGTATACAATGCTCCTTTTAACATGAATCTTTGTCATTGTTATACTGATTAGAGGAACATGGGATCTTTTTCAGTTGAAAAGGCAATATGCTGCATTTATTGAAAATAAAATATGAAAAGCAGCATATGTATTCATTCAGAGAGAGAGAGAGAGAGAGAGATCCTGCAGATGGGCTTATAGTTACCAGTCTGTTGTGGCTCCAGTCAATGTAGTGGCCAGTTAGATTGAACACAACTGAGGAGCTGGGTTCTGTCAGTCATGATCCAATGCTCAGAGGCTCTACAGGACTGAACCTAGAGTTCCATGGCAAAACATCCCATCTTTATACTTGTACGTTCCCATTTGACTCTATGGATTTTGTAATGCCACACAGCAAAAGTGGTGTAAATCTTAGAGTATTCCACAGTTATCCTTTGGTTGTAAGGCTTCCCATCTTTATCTCTTGCTTGTTGTCTCGCCGCTGGGGATATCTGCCTGTCTCCAAGGTTGTCAATTCTGCTTATTCATTTAGCAGCAGGCATAATCAGTGGTTCTTAACCTCTTTGGCACTGTTACCCCTTAAGTTCAATCAATAAATCAAATTTACCCCTCCTCCTTTTTAAAATGGCAATAGATAAAAAGAAAATTGCGATTAATCATTTGTATTGTATTTCGTTTTCTCATACATTATGTTGAAGAAAATTGAACACCTATTGTATTTTAAACTTATTACCCTCTGAAATATGCCACAGTACCCTTCAAGGGCTATACCCCCATGTTAAAAAGCTCGGGGCACATTGAATGTTTTCTGACTGTCTCCAAGCTTCTCACTTTTTCTTGACAATCTGGACATTTGTGATGGCTTGCACACTTATCCTTAGCTATGCGCACATCCATCACTTGCACCAAACAATTTTACAGAGAATTGCAGACAGACTGCATTTTGGAAAAGAGTATATACTTACTAAAGAAATAACAGAAGAACCTTGAACAATTTAATTTGCAATGCAGAAAAGAAACAAGACTTAATTTGTAATGCACACAAGATACAAGACCCTATAGCAAACATTGTAATGAAATCATGTCCTTAGATGAAGAAATGACCACAAGAAGTTATGGTCTCTTCCTGCTTTAACACTGGGGTATGCAATTATCAGCTTACCCAATGCATATCGACCAACAGCCAGGCCATTCCTTCCTGCTAATCATGAAGGGTGACTGACGGCGAAACAGAAGCATACAGAGCTGATAAGCAAAGCATTGTATAGGACTTATTATCTTCATTATACTTATATTCAGATACAAACACAAATACTACATTTTGGCTACATTATACGACTACCCTTGAAAGTACTGTAAGTCAACCTAATTCTAGGTTATATGTGAGCCACTGAAATTCATTACAAACTTTCTCCTTGTATCTTACTGTACAGGACTTTATAGTGAAGGAACACTATTTATAAATAGAATTTATAAAATTATGATGATACTTTAAAAGTCTACATGCCATTGGGATAATCTTAAAGTATTGTATATCTCATATTTATGAGTTCATTTACCCACTACCCAAATTGTAACATAACCCTCTTGAATAGCCAGAAATGCAGGCAGTTGTTGCATGCGATTTGTTAATTCTTAAGTAATACAGTGTATTACTGCATAGGTCATAATATTTTCTAGAATACTCACAAATTCTGTATTTTATAGGCAGAAGGAAGTGTGGTCTGGGTGGCAAATTCCAATCATTAAGACTGTAGTTAATCAAAAAGGATTAAACACTCAATAATCAATATTCCATGACATTTTTTTGAAGATACATATGGGTAACAGAATTTCTGAGCAACGATTTTCTGCACTGTGCTGGAAATTAATTAGATGTAACTCTAGATAAATTGGTATATACCATTCAAAGATATTTAACTGTTTATGTATTTTGATCATTGTACTGAATACCTATCACTCTGACTATATGAAAAGATGAATATTTGTATTGTATGTGAAATATATGGAATTAAAACCTGTTTGACATGTCATTTGCTTGATAAGAGTGTAATCCATCCCTAAATTTATGATCAGATTAAAAGAGAAAAGGTGGGAAAAATGAAATGTTTCCATTTAAATTCCTTCAAAATTAACAATGGCCAAAACCAACCAACCAAGCAAACAAAAAACAAAACACCCCCCCCCACACACACAAAACAACAACTACAACTACAACAACAACAACAACAACAACAAAAACCCCAAAACCCGGTGGAAGCCTTTGTCTAAAGCTTATTGAAATAGATTGAAAGACTCCCATTTATTTTATTGAGCTTTAAATGTGGCCCCCAAATAATAGGACCCCCTGTATTGTCAGACTAATCTCCTGGCTCTGTGAAAGATGTGTTCTAAGATGTAGGAGACCATCACTCTCCACTTGCTAGAACACAATTATGCCGTGGAGATACAGTATCAGATAAATTATAAATGGAAAAATCGTGACAGATCATCTAGCCCATTTCTCTACAAATGCAGAATTGTTCCCTAGAGCACCTTTTCTGGTGTTTTAAACAGTGTGGTTTAAAATGTGACAGCTGAGGCTTCCACTAATTCCTGATGACGGTATTCCAAAATATAATAAGCAGAGAGACAGCAGTGACAGACACTTAGGCTATGTCTACATTGGCAAGATTTTGTGCAAAAGCGCTTGCTTTTGCACAAAATTTTGCCGCCTGTCTACACTGGCCGCGAGTATTTGCGCAAGAACACTGATGTTCTACTGTATGAAATCAGTGCTCCTTGCGCAAATACTCTGACGCTCCCGCTCAGGGATAAGTCCTCTTGCGCAAGTATTCTTGCGCAAGAGGCCAGTGTAGACAGGTAACATCAATTTCTTGCGCAAGAAAGTCCGATGGCTAAAATGGTCATCGGAGCTTTCTTGTGCAAGAGAGTGTCTACACTGACACGGATGCTTTTGCGCAAAAGCAAATCTTTTGCGCAAAGGCACATGCTAGTTGTGGGGGTTTCGGGGTGCGATCACCCCTTCTTGGTCTGAGAGGGGGGGGTCAGCGAACCCTAGTGCCCCCTCTTAGTGCCTATTCGGCCCCCGGGGCCCCAATGGGGAACCCCCGACAATGGGTGCGATCACCCCCTCCCAGGAGGAAGGGGGGGTCAGCGAACCCGTCAATAGTTACCCGTCTCTGCGGGGCGGGGCAGCAGACCCCTGGTTCAGAGTTTCCCCTTGCGGGGTTGTGACTTGTAGCGTCTCTCTGTTCAGGCCGTGGGTAGTGGGATGTTCCCTTCGTGGAGGGAGGGGGACCCGGTCCCACCCTCTCTCCGGGTCCCAGCCCGGGGCCCTAAGCGGCGGGGCTTGCTAATGCCCCGACGCGGTGGACGAGGGAGTTAATCCCTCCGCAACTCGTCCACCCAAGGTCGCCAAAAGCGCCCTGCCCCGGGCTCCTTCCTCCCTCCGGGCGGCTCTCGCCAATCGTGCCCATCGCCTGTGCACCTACCCTGGTTCGGGGTCCTGCGGTGTGTCGATCCCGGACGCGGCCTCGGTGGCGCGCTCTGGGGTGCCGTTCTGCCTCCGGACGTCCCGCTCCCATTGGGTACGACGAGGTGGAGTCCGCCCCCCGTCGGCCGAGGGGCTGAGGGACCGCC